AAGGATCCTTAAAAGCAGATGCAGGAGGCCAAAGAAGAGTTAATGTCAGAGTGATACAATGTCAGAAAGACTGGATAGGCCACTGCTGGCTTTGAAAATGGTAGGGGACCACAAGCCAAGGAATGTGGGCAGCCAGAAAAGGCAAAGAAATGGATGTTCTGTAGAGCCTCTAGAAGGAAGCCCTGTGGACACCCTTGAATATAGCCTAGTGAGATCCATCTTGGACCTGACTTAACAACACTGTAAGATAATAAGCGCGTTGTTTTAAGTTTGTGTTAATTTGTTACAGCAGCCATAGGAAGGGAATACAAATATCATCTGGTACTGCCCAGTAAAAAAGATACCCAGAGAAGAGGAGTGCCCTGCCCCTGGCTGCACAGCCTCTAGAAGCAACATACTCCTGGCTCTGGTCTTTTTTTTTTTTTTGCTAGGTCCTGCTGCTTCTCTGCCTTCTTAATGATGAGCCCCAGGTATCACAAAAGTTAAATTCTATGCTGCCGACATTCAATTATCGGGAACAGCCATCTCCGGGGGATGCCCAGTTTATTTTTTTGAATGAGTGGGGCTCCCCCCACCCCCCGCGCCCCAACTCGAAGGGCGAGGCTTTGTGTCCCTCCCCCAAGGGCAGATGCTGTCCAGATGGGGGGGCGGGGCCCTGGGGCTCCGGCCACAGCGGGGCTGGGGGGCGTAGTGGGGTGGGGTGTGGAAGCGGGAGACCTGGAACCGAAGAGCAATTCCAGGGCCTGCGGGCCGGCCGTTGTTGGACCGGCTCCCTATCTGGGGTGCTCCTGGGAGGCTGCGGGCAGGCGGGGGAGGAATCCGGGCGGAGCTGCGGGGGGGGCAGAGGTTAACCCGGGAGTAGTGGTCGGGTCAGGTTACTTCCCTTTACAAAGAAGGGGAAAGGAGGAGTCAGGTCCTGGTGGGTAGTGTCCGTGGCTGGTCCGGCTCGTCGTTCGGGAGAGGAGGCTCCGAGCAGGTCAGGGTCGGGCGCCCTGGCGGCCACAGGCAAGTGGAGCGCGGTGGAGAGGGTCTGCGGGGCGCGGAGGGGCTGCGGGGCAGCTGCGGGGCGGCAGCCACAGTGAGGAAGGAACATCGACGCAAGCGCGCGCAGAGACCCCGACGTCCCTGCCGACGCCCCCTTCTCAGACCGGTACACTGAGGTCCAAGGAGAGCGAAGAATTCTTTTGGCTGAGATCCCGCTATGATCTCGCGGCCGAGTTGGTTCCGTAGCGGGCCTATCAGCCGGGCAGGGGGCCGTCCACCTGGAGAGGTGGTCCCCAGGGCGGGGAGGGCAGCTGCCGGCGCCTCTGGGGGAGGGCAGATGGGGAGACCCCGCTGGTGCAGCGGACTCTACCCCGCTGGGGTCTGAGGCAGGGTGGTGTGGGGACAGAGGTGCGAGCGTGGTGACTGTGAGGCACCGCAGCTCAGACTCGTAGTGGGTGGGGCGGAGCCAAAAATGAACGGAATCCCGGCCAGCCTTTGGGGTCTATACAGCCCCCAGAGGAGGAGCGGGGGGGGGGTCCAGGGTCAAGGCCGCAGTAGGAGTCCCCCTTAGCTAACCTTGGACGTTTTGCCTCCGTCCAAAGCCCTCCCCCCGACCGCTTAAAGGGAATTCCCGCTGAACAAGCGTCGTCTCCCTTGCTCCTTACAACCCCATAGTTCGCGGGTTCTCCTGAGGCAGGAACGGAGCGCCCGCTCCAGCACTCCCTGGCAGCCGAGAAGAGCAATGCTCCTACTGCAGCCCGCACTTGTTCTGCGGAGGGGTGCTCCAGATGAGCCAGTGGGGCCCTAACTCTGCACCTCCAAACCCCCAGCAGTGCAGTGGGCACGGGTGCCCCAGTTGGGTCATGCCTTGGGTTTTGTAACTTGAATCCGCCTCCTCCCTCCAACCCAGCCCAGGGACTGCACCAACCAGGCAGTGTGGTTGAATTGTCAGAGCACTGTTCTCAGTCAGGCCTAAGGTATGATTGTGGCTTAGTCTCTGAGTCTCTAACTGACCTGGACCTCTCTGGGCCTTGCCTTATTCACCTGTAAAAGCAGAGTCTTGGACTAGGTGGGCCCTTCCGTTGGTTGTCTGTGTTTGAGGAGCTGGCTGTAGATATGTGAGGTGGGGGAGGGGAGAAATGAGGGCATGGTCACACGGAAGTGGAAATGGGCCTCCAATCCACCAAAGATCCCTTTTGGACACATTGGGGGCAGGGGAGGTGGGGAAGGCAGGGTGCCTCGCCCCTCTCTGGCAGTGGGCTGGCATCCTCCACTAGCCCACCTCCCTAAAAAGCCCTAGGGTAAAGCTAGACTATCAGTGGAAGAAAGCTTACCCCAGAGAGCTGCTCCCACTTCACAGATGGAGAAACAGGATCAACTGTGTGAGGCAGACTGGCCACCTGCCCTGTGATTCCCCCAGAGCCTTCTAGGGAGTGGGGCATAAGCTCCTTCCCATTTCCACAACCCTTAAGCCAAGTCCTCCAGCCCCTTTGCTTCAAGAGTTTTATTGCTAAGCATTCTGAGAAGACAGGTGGGGGGTCCCCACGTGGGAAGGCATCAATCAGGGTATTGGAATGGGGCCTAGTTCCTGGGCCTCTGGCTCTGGTGGAAAATCCAGGACCCCATGCTGGGGGCTATTCGAGAGTCTAGGAGGGATGGCAGGGACAGTAGGCCAGCTGTTCACACTGAGTCCCCTGGGTGCCTTCCTTCACACAGGCCAACAGCCGTCACCTCCAGCCTGGGCCCAACCCTGGGTGTCCGTCGTTGGAGACGCTACAGTGGTTCGGGTGCACCCTTGAAGGCAAGCCAGGGTCCTCCACAGAGACCTGTGTCTGGTAGCACAGTGCTCCCCCTCTGATAAGAAGTTCTACTTCCTAGAACCAGCCCCTGCTCCCAGTCCTGGTCTGGGGGCAGGGAGTTCATGGCCCCTTTGTAGAGCCCCCAAGCTGACTTCCACCAGGTTGCCAGTCTCTCAGCTATTCCTTGCAGCAGCCACTCCTGCCCCATGTCCCTTAGTGTGCCTCTAAAATTCAGAAGAAGGGACACACAGTTCCCCTAAAAGATGATCAGGTCTTTCATCCTGCCCAGATTGGCCTTCCTTAACTTGTTGTCATGTGTTGTTATGCTAAAAGGTGTGTGTCTCCTCCTGTGGTCTTTTAACCCTCCTGGGCACTGCCTAGTAGGAAATGTGGGGAGCTGTATGAGAGGATGCTTTGGGAGGCACATATAGTTAAGCAATAGAACCTGCCACTAACTAGCCTGTGTGACCTTGGGCAAGTCACTTAACTTCTCTGTGCCTTGGTTTTCTCAACAGCCAAATGGTGGTGATTATCCTGATGGTGATTATCTGTTCAGTTACACAGATGGGAGTTTCCAGACAGGATCCACAGCCCAGAATGGCCCTTCCAAGGCTGGTGTACTTCCCCAACTCCAAGAGGGCCCCTTCTGCTCCTTCGCTCCTGAGTGCCCTTGCATTGGGCTCCAGAGGCCAAAACAGGAGCTGACTTCCCATTAGGGCCTTCTGCGGTTCTCACAGGATGGACAATGTCCAAGGCTCCCAGAGGAAGCACCCTGGGGGCTGGCCCAGGCCCAGCCTCACGCAGCTGTGGGTGGAGACCTCAGAAGTCTGGGAGAAGGCCAGGGGCTGGAGGGGCCAGAATGTGCCCTGCACTGGGGCCCCAGCCTCATTCCTGCTCCTAACTCGCTGCTCCTTCAGAGCAGACAGATGGGCTTCAGGTTGTTCCATAGCTCCCAGCCTGCACAGCCCTGCAGCTGAGGAGGATAGGGCGGGGAGGTGTTGAGCGAGCATGAGCAGCAGCTTACCCCAAGACCCAGCGATCTGTGAGGGAGCTGGGACTGCACAGTTGTTTGCCTGACTGCTGGTCCTGGCTTTCCCCACTACAGCCCCTCCCAGGCTCCTGGCGTTGTCATGTTTGAATTCAAGGCAACTTGTATCCCCATATCTGAGATAAAGCTGACTTTTCCCATTCAATTAATGTCTTCTACACGAGTGGCTATGCCTCAAATATTCTCTAACATGATTGTTGTCAACCTTAATTTTTTTTTTTTTTTTAATTTAGAACTTTTGTTCCCGGACCAAAACATAGGCAGGGCAGAAATAAATAAACCCATAGATGGGAAGGCTGCTTTGGTTGAGACCGGGGCTGGGTACTCAGCTTCTCCCCCATCAAGAAATGAATGGTAAAAGGAATGCACACATTCTGCTCGCCTGCAGAAATCTTCCACTCCAAAGACAGTCTGCAGGTGATGCCACCCCAGAATCATACAAGGTGGAGCAGTGATTCCCCAAGTGAGGGCAGCTAAACAAGGTGATTGTAGTGGCTACCTAGATGAATAGTTTTAAAATCAATAGTCATAAATTGAAATGTGAATCAGAAAAAATATAACGTAATACATCCAACCATGACTTCTTGGTCGTTATTGCTCAGAAGGAGAGTAAGTAGTGAATTTATTTAAAGAAAAATGTTAACTAAATAATGTACAGGAGGATCACAGATATGGCAAAACTCACAAAAGTGGTTTGTATGCACAATCTAGGAGCCCAAGAAGGAACGTGAGGCATAGAGGGGAAATCTGTGCCGAGGATCCAGGGTCTGAATTAACGCCGAGTTCGGTCTTTAACCACTGCCTCTCGCTTTCTTATGGCTGCTCCATTTTGCGAGCATGTGTTACCTGCCTGCTGTGTACTAGGTGTTTGCCTGGTGTGGAGGATACCATCCTCATGGCGCTGAGTCTTGGGGGTGCTGGGAGAGCTGCCCCGGGATAGCATCGCTGAAGTGAGCTTCCAGGATGAGTGGGTGGTATGTGAAGGAAAGACAGAAGCTGTCCAGGCCCAAAGAGAAGCTTGGGGTGAGGGTGAGGTGAGGGTGAGGGTGAGGGTGAGGGTGGAGTGGGGGTGGAGGAAGGAAGAGATGGTGGGCTTGAGAAACCAAAAGAGGCCAGTGGGGCAGAGCAACAGGGGGAGAAGGCTTGAGATGAGACCAGAGAATCATTGGAGGCTAGATCACACTAGACCTATAAGCCAAGGCAAGGATTGTGGACATTGTCATTCATTTAGCCAGCGTTGAGCTGCTGCCCTGTGCTAGGCATGGAGGGGTGTACAAAGTCACAGAGGCTTCCCTTGAGGTGCCTAGGTCTAGTGAGAAGCTTTTGAACACATAGATGGCCTTAAGTGCTGTGATAGAGGTGTGAACCAGAGGCCAGGGAAGCACCCGGGGGAAAGGGGCTGCCTGTTCATGAGAAGGCAGTGATGTTTGAGCTGGATTTTGAAAGATGAGTAGGAGTTTGACAGGAGGGAGAGGAAAGGCATTCCCGGCAGTGGAAACAGGATGGGTAAAGGCACAGAGATATGAAAAAGTCCAGGGAGTTTGGGGATATGCCCACAACTGGAGCCACATCGGGCATTGGAAAGAGGAGAGGCCAGAGGGTCAAGTCCACAGAAGGTTTTCAGGCTCAAGCCAGAGCTGAGGTTTCATTCCACAAGCAGTGAGGAGCCAGAGACCAGGTTCAAGCAGGAGAGGATGATCCCTCTGCCAAGGTGTGTGGGCACGTTGGGTGACAGGGGAGAAGAACATGGTTACTGCTACCCAGTGGGGTGTAGAGATGGCCATGCCTGGGCCTTGGCAGGGGGCTGGAAGAGGGATCCCTTTTTATTATTCGAGAATGTGGGGGCTGTGGAGCATGCCCCTCTATGTGCCCGCAGCCTGGGCTGGCACAGTACCCAGAACAGGGACCTCTCATTACAGGGCAATGGGCTTTCCAAAAGGGTAAAGATCCCAGCCAGCTGGGCCCACGGACTGTGTCCAAAGCAAACAGGAAAAGGCCATGATGGGCCAGGCAGCGCCTCTTTCTTTGTTTGGAGTAGAGATTAGGCCAATCAGGCTTATGTGTCTTTTTGCTGCAAAGGTGGGAGAGGGCTGCAGGTCCTACAGAGTGAAACTTGTTGCAAGGGGATGCATGACCCCTGGGTGCCAGCCTTCAGCGGTACAACAGAGATGGCTTTCCTTGGCAAATTCTAGCCCTGATGAAGGGAGACTGGAAGCGCATACTTCTCACTCTCAGTCACCCTCAGGGGCTGCTGCTCCCTCTGTCACCATGCCCAAGTTGCAGCCCTCCCTCGGTACTTGGCTTCCCACTCTTGCCCCTTGGCCATCAGCCCAGGCCTAATAGGGGTGGCTGTAGGTCACTGCAATGGGAAGTCCACACTGTCCAGACCACCGCCCTGGGGGGCAGGTCTCTAGAGAGAAAGAGGGAAGTGCTGACGGCTCAGAGCACCCTTGAGCCCAAAGATGGGCACCCAGGATCCCCCTGAAGACCCTGTACAGGGATGCCTGAATGAATTAACCTATGAACACTTACCGTCCATGCATGCATTTGTTTACCAAGCCTCCAGGTGGGCTCACTGGTTGCTGGCCCAAGACGGGGCAGGGAGTGGCTAATGAATGAGGAGCTGACAGACCAGATGAGGGAGGAGACAAGCGTGGGCCCTGAGATGCATTTGGCCCTAGCAAGAGTCTTGCCTGTCTGCCATGGTTGGAGGAGGGCTCAGAGAAGGGGGTAGACAATTCTCCCAGGGCTAAGTGGGAGTGGAGACAGGGGTGGAGATGGGCTGCAAAGACTCCAATAAGGAGTGACGCCTGAATTGACTCACTCATTCATCCATGCACCCATTCACGCCTGTGTGCATTCACTCGGCAAATATGTATTGAGCAACTACTATGTGCCAGGCACCGTGCCTAGAGCCAGTGAGCAGAAGCAGCCAGGGACCTGCTCTTATGGGGCCTGCTGTTGGTCGGGGAGACAGGCAACACTCAAATCATCACCACACAGATCAAATGGAAAATTGTGCTGAGTTATAGGGCTTTGAAGAAGAGGTTTGTGGTTCTAAGGGGCCTGACGTAGTCACGGAGGTCAGGGTGTCTTCTCTGAGAAAGACTTGAAGAATAAATAGGAAGTAACCAGGGCAAGAAGGGGGAGAAGATGATGCAAGCAGAGGGAACTGCACATGCAAAGGTCCTGTGGTGGAGGGTCTGGGTGAAGGCCAGAGTGGCTGGAGTTCCGCAACAGAGGGGAGTGTGGTGAGAATGAGGTTGGGAAGTGGGCCAGCTGATAACACTTGAACTTGTGGGTGTCTTTAGAAGATTTGGTCTGAATTCCAAGAGCAAAGGGAAGGTTTTAAGCAGTGGTGCAAAATGATCCAATCTGTGTAGCAAGCTAGTTTGAGGGGGCCCAAGTGGAAGTGAGGAGTCATGAGGGTCCAGCAGTGCCCACATAAACAATGACAGTGGCTTTGACCAAGGACATGGTGAGATTGGGGGGCAGGGTGAGTTGGATGTTGGGGTGAGGGTCAGGTGATATTGAGGTCTGAGGAACTGGGCTGGCAGATGGGAAGGGTGACGATGAACATCATATTCCTGTAAGAACATATTATATTGAGCATGATAAGTAATATCTTCCTTTCTACCAAGGATAGAATGGTTGACCTCTGAGTAAGAAAGAAGGGAAGGGAAGGATTTTCAGGTTCTACTATATGGTATTTAATATGTTTTCTCATTAAATCTGTTCAACAAATCTGAGAAGTAAATACTATTATTTATGTACGAGGAAAGGGGTCTCAGAAAAGTAAAATTACCTACCCAAGGTCATGGCTGGGAAGAGGTTAAGCCTCCACCAGCCTCCTCTCTTAAAAAAAAGAAAAAAAAAAGGCAAAACAACTTATTTCATTCTTCTCAGTGAGCTTATAATTGAGGAAAAAGTTTTTGGCAGAAGGGAAAGGGAGGGGAACCTGGAAGAACTCCCTGCTCTGAAAGAATGCAAGGGAGGCTGGGGCCATGTCACTGAGGAGCCCTGGGCATCCATCCAACCACAGGGGTGAACCAATGTGTTCTTGACCCGAGCTAGAAACCAACTCTCCCTTTCTCTTCATCTCCCACCTCCCTGCTCCTGGGAAGTCCTTCTAACCTCCTGGACCTAACCTCGATCCTCCTGTTCTGGTGCCCACTGTCTCAGCTTGCAGGCAGATCCAAGCCACCTGGCTGCTCCCTCTCCCCACTGGGCACGAAGCCTGACGCCTGCCCTTCAGCCCTTGGTGGGCTCCCAGGAAGTCTGCAGCCTGTAACCGGACAGTTTGCTCCCAGCAGGTACCCCTGAGCTGCACTCCGCACACTGTTCCTGGATCTCCTCTCCGAAACCTGGGCAGAGTGTGTTCCCACCCAGTCCGGTGACCTTCGCCTGAGCCCTGGTTAATTTTTGCCCAGTCTGCAGGCTGTGGGGCTCCTCCCCTTCAGGGATATAAGCCTGGCCCGAGGCTGCCCTGTTCCCCACCGGTCCTGAGCCTCCCCAAGCTCCCTCTGCACCCTCACCATGGCCAAAGGATTCTACATATCCAAGGCTCTGGGCATCCTGGGCATCCTCCTGGGCGTGGCGGCCATAGCCACTATCATCGCTCTGTCTGTGCTGTATGCCCAGGAGAAGAACCAGAATGCCGGGTACGCCACCACCGTGGCCCCTACGAGCCCCGCGACCAAGCTGACAACCACCATCACCGCGGCCACCACCTTGGACCAGAGCAAGCCATGGAACCGATACCGCCTACCCACGACACTGTTGCCTGACTCCTACAGTGTGACACTGAGGCCCTACCTCACTCCCAATAAGAATGGCCTGTATATCTTCAAGGGCACAAGCATCGTCCGCTTCATCTGCAAGGCCCCCACTGACGTCATCATCATCCATAGCAAGAAGCTCAACTACACCAAAACCCAGGGGCACATGGTGGCCCTGCGGGGTGTGGGGGCCTTCTCGGCCCCCCACATCGACAGGACCGAGCTGGTAGAGCCCACGGAGTATCTGGTGGTACACCTCAAGGGCTCGCTGGAGGCAGGCAGAATGTATGAGATGGAGAGTACATTTCAGGGGGAGCTGGCCGACGACCTGGCAGGCTTCTACCGCAGCGAGTACATGGAAGGCAATGTCAAAAAGTAAGTCAGAGCTGGGTCTGCTGGGGGGCAGATCCTAGGTGCTGAGGCAGAGCTGGACCCTGGGAGCCAAGGAAGGGCTTGGGTTCGGGGCCTTTGAACCTTCGGGAGTCCTTGGCTGGCCCATCACTCCATCTGCAGCTCCGGTAGAGCAGCTACCAAGACAATCGACCCTTTCCCGGAGGGCTCCTCTATACTTTATTAGGGAGTAGGGATGAGAGATGAAAGTGCCCCTTGGATAGATAGGAAAACAGGCTCTGAGGAAAGAAATTTGCCAAGGTTTCCCAGCCAATACAGGGATGGAGCCTGCCAGGACTTTGACCCTGAGTCCAGAAGGAGCTCTGCTCTCCCACGTCAGCTGGCCTGTTGGCCTAGCGGCGGCCTGGGGGAGGTGGGGAGGGCAGGGATTAGGCCAGGCAGCATCTGTGCACCCCATCCCTGCACACCCAGCAACACCCTACAGCCCCAGCCCCACACACCCACACGGGCACAGGCATTAAGCTGGCACACCCTCTAACCCCCGCTTCGGGCAGGGTGCTGGCCACGACACAGATGCAGTCTACAGATGCCCGGAAATCCTTCCCGTGCTTTGACGAGCCGGCCATGAAGGCCACATTTAACATCACCCTCATCCACCCCAACGGATTCACGGCCTTGTCCAACATGCCGCCCAAAGGTGAGCAGGTCTGGCTGGGGCCACACATCCTCGGAAAGCAGACCCCCAGGGCTGGGGCACAGGGCAGGGAGAGGGCACAACCCCACATGCCTGCGTGCTCCCTGCCCAGGTCCCAGTGTCCCGCTTGTAGAAGACCCCAACTGGAACGTCACTGAGTTCGAAACCACGCCTGTAATGTCCACATACCTTCTGGCCTACATCGTGTGCGAGTTCACGAGTGTGGAGACAACGGAACCCAACAACGTCCAGGTATGGAGCTGAGGCCACCTATCCTTCCTCGGGATTGGTCCTGGCCTGGGAGATATTCCTATTTATCCTCATCCTTGTCCCAGCCCCTGAGTTGCTAGGCAGTGTTTGAATCCCAGTTCTGAGTGATCTTGGGCAAATGCCTTAGGTTCTCTGACCCTCCGTCTCTGCACCTGAAAAGTGGGACTCTCCTCATGAAGGGAGTTCCCGACTCCTGGGTGCCAGACAGATGGTGTCTATGGCTATTGTTGTTCCCCAAAGGCCCCTGCCTGTGACTCAAGGCTCTGAAGAGACACCCCCGCCCTCTCCTCCGCTGACCAAGCCTCCCAGTTTAACCTAGTTGGTCCCCCAGCCTGCCAGGCCTTGGGACTCGGCCCACCTGCACCAGGACCCAAGAAGGGCCCTTGACCTACCTCTGTCTTCTTTGCAGGTCCGGATCTGGGCTCGGCCTAATGCAACTGCAGAGAACCATGGCAGTTATGCCCTGAACGTGACAGGTCCCATCCTAAACTTCTTTGCCAATCATTTTGATACACCCTACCCACTCCCAAAATCTGGTGAGTGAGGTACCTCGCATTGGGGGGAAGTGGATGGGTCTCCCCCCATAGCCCGAGGCCATCCCACCAACAGCCTGGACTCCCCAGACCAGGTTGCCTTGCCCGACTTCAACGCCGGTGCCATGGAGAACTGGGGGCTGGTGACCTACCGGGAGAACTCGCTGCTGTTTGACCCACAGGCCTCCTCCAGCAGCAACAAAGAGCGGGTTGTCACTGTGATTGCTCACGAGCTGGCCCACCAGGTAGCCCCCCAATCATGGGGAGTGCAGACAAAGAACGAGGGGGGCTCTGGGAGGAGACGGCACAAGTTGTGGCTCCGTCCTTGGCAGCTGAGAAGGGAAGAGTTCCACCTGGCAGGGTGTCAGGGAGGAGAGTCATGATGATGTCGGTGAAGCCGAGCTCAAGACTGGCACACTGGGAACACTCGGTGAAGGGTAGCTCTGGGTACCGTTAGTGACCGCAAGGTGCGAGTGGCTTGCCGGGCTGACCTCCCCTCCCCCACAGTGGTTTGGGAACTTGGTGACCCTGGCCTGGTGGAATGATCTTTGGCTGAACGAGGGCTTTGCCTCCTACGTGGAGTACCTGGGTGCTGACTATGCAGAGCCCACCTGGAACCTGGTGAGCCCGCTGCCCAGGGACCTCTGGGATCTGGGATGGGGGAAGACCTGGGTCACCCCCTCCCAGGCCAGTCTTCTGATGGCTGCTGGGGATTTGCAGAAAGACCTCATGGTGCCGAACGAGTTGTACCATGTGATGGCTGTGGACGCGCTGGCCTCCTCCCACCCCCTGACCACCCCTGCCAAGGAGGTCAACACACCCGCCCAGATCAGCGAGATGTTTGACTCCATCTCCTACAGCAAGGTGCTGCCCAGCCCCCACGCTGGTCCTGAGATAGTAGGGTCATGGGAAGGGAGGTGGGATCTCGGCCCACAGGGGCCCACTGAAGCTGGGGGCTCCGGGAGCACCTGTCCCAGCCCAATGGGGACACAGGGTCTCCTGCTGGCTCGGCGCAGCCTTCTGAGCCCCCTCTCCTCCACCAGGGAGCCTCGGTCATCAGGATGCTTTCTGAGTTCCTGACTGAGGACGTGTTCAGGAAGGGCCTGGCGGTGAGTACCCTTGGCCAGCCATAGGGTGGGAGGTGTTTCCTCCAAGCCCCGGCCTACCACAGAGGCTGAGTGGTAGAGCCTGGGGCAGCAGCTTTACCCTCACTGTGCCCTGTCTTTCCACAGTCCTACTTGCATGCCTTTGCCTATCAGAACACCACCTACCTGGACCTGTGGGAACACCTGCAGATGGTCAGTAACAACCAGCTCCCCTGAAGCCATTCTGTGGGGGTCCTGAGATGCTGAAAGTCCTTGGGGGCAGCACACGTGTAAGAGAATGTGCCCAGCTCCACTGCTTGCCCTCCCAGGCAGGCCACCTGGAGGCTTGGTTGCTCATCTGTAAAATGGGCACAATGATGTCTCCTTGAAGGAGGTGTTACGAGAGCCTGGGTCACGAGCCCTGGCAGGCAGCCCCCCTCACGCTACAGTGAGCTCTGTGAGGGCAGCTGAGGAGTGCCATCATCTGAGTAGCGAGGAAACGGGCTCTTATGGTTCCCAAGCCCAAGCCTTCCTCTCCCTGGAACTTTGGAGCCAGTCATTCACCTACTCAGCATTCCTGGCTGCCCTGTGCCCCAGCTGGCCCCTCCCAGACATGACTTTGCACACACCAGCACCCTCGGCGCGCTCTCTGACCCTCCTATCCAGCCTCACCTTGCATTCCTGTCCATTCAGACCCTGAGTGGCCCCTGTCTTTGGGCAAACCCTCTGACCACTCCCACCCTCCCGCCTGCCCCTCCTCCCCACCTCTCTTGAGACTCTCCCCATCATCCCCCATCATGTCTTCTCCTTCACGGCGGCCCCCACCCCTTCTCTGTGGCCCTGGTCAGCCCTACTGATCCCCCCATATGCCTGTGCTCCATGACCAGCCTGACCAGGGAGGGGAGGCCCAGGGCCTTGTCACAGAGTCACAGCTGGGCTCCAGGGCCCTCCTGGCCAGTCTCCAGCCCGACATCCATCTGCCACGAGGCCGGTCCACCTCCCACACCTCCCACAGCGTCAGTCCCTTCCCTCCGCTTCCACTGTCTTCCTTGCCCAGCCTCAGTTTCCAGCGCCTTCCTTTCTTCCGAAGCCAAGCCCTCCTCCACACCAGCACCCCTCCAGCTCCATCTGCCCCTCCCTCTTTCCCTGAGCCCCTTCTCTCTGCAGCCCCCCTAGAGATGCCCTCTCCCTCAGCTTGCACCTTCCGACAGGGTCTTCTGCCCTCTATTTACGCTGTTCTTAGTTTTTTATTTTCTCAGTTATTAACAGATGTGGTTGGTTTTCTGTTATTATTATGAAAGCAATGCACACACATGGAAAAAGATGAAAAGAGATTTAAGACAATAACAACCACCCTAAGCCCATCCCCAGACCCTCATCCAGGTGCGTTTCCTTCACATCGCCACGACCCTCTCCTTCACGCTGCCTGTGACATGGGGACACTGGTTTTCCTTCCTCTCTGTCTCCTCTCCCTGCCTGTCCTCCCGGGTTTGTTCAGGCTGAGCCATGGGCATCCTGGGTGCCCCTCCCTGACACACACACACCTGAGGGTGGATCACAGAATGGGAGGCCACATAGATTTGCTTAATCAAAGTGGAATGAACCAGAAGCTGGGAAGCTCTTGGCTTGTCCAGCACTGGGCAGCCGAGGAGACAGAGAGCCGGGCTGGGACCCCAGCTCCTGCCTCCCAGCAAAGTGGTACCACTAAGGGGAGGCCAAGGGTGCAAGGGGAGGGTGGGTGGGTGGGAGAATGGCAGTCGCTGATGGCCGCACCATATCCCTCTGCCCAAGGCTGTAAACAATCAGTCGACCGTCAAGCTGCCAGACACCGTGCGTGCCATCATGGACCGCTGGACCCTGCAGATGGGCTTCCCTGTCATCACTGTGGACACCAAGACAGGGAGCATCTCCCAGAAGCACTTCCTCCTTGACCCCGAGTCCAACGTCACCCGCCCCTCAGTGTTCAAGTGAGCAGATGAGGTCACTGAGACAGGCGTCCTAGTGAGGGTTCTGAGGGGCAGTTGCTCTGGGACCCTCTGACCATAGCAGGGCCTGGCCCGCTGTGGCCCTGCCATAGTGGCTGTAGACAGTCTCCTTCCTGGGCCAGGAGAATGGGGGCGTTTTAGTGCCAGAGTTGGGCAGAAACTGGAAGTCCGGGCAAGGCTGTTCTTTGCTGGCAGTGCCCAAGAGCTGCCGTTTCTCACACCTGGCCTCTGGATCTCTTGTTGCAGCTACCTGTGGATTGTTCCCATCTCATCTATCAGAGATGGCAGCCTGCAGGACCACTACTGGCTTCCGGGCAACGCAAGAGGTAATCCAGCCCTGCCCTAGTGGACAGCAGCCCCATCCCATACTCCCAGCTCCTGGCCCATGTTCTGGGGTTATGGCAGGCCTCAGCCAGAGCTTCCTTCATCGTTTCATTCAACAAATGGAGCCAGCTTCTTTGGTTCTAATTTCTACACTGTGTGACCCTGGCCAAGTTACCATCTCTCTCTGGTCTCCATTTCCCCATCTATGCAATGGGGCTAGGAACAATATCTACCCCATTGAGTTGTGTGAAGGTTAAAGAGGAGGATTCCCATGAAATGTTTAAAACAGTGCCTGGCACGTAGTATGAGCAGTTCTACTCTGCCAGGCACTGAGGAAACCAAGGTCAAGGCAAGTCATCCTCTACCTAAGCCAAGGCTGCAGGTGAAGGGAAGGAAGACAAGCAGTTCAAACGTTCCAGCGCTGTGCTGAGTGCTTTAACAGAGGCATATGTGGCCTCTGGGGTACTGGGGCAGGTGGGTAGGGAGCGGGGAATAGGGAGCTTCAACTTCATGGAGAGGTCAGGAAACACTTCCTGGAGGAGGTGAGCTGAGTCAGAGTAAGAGCAGGAGTTCGCCAGGCTAATGGCAGCAGAGGGAAGCAGTCCAGGCAGAGTCAAGAGCAAGTGCGAGGCTTGAGGTAGGAGAGAGCTCGGGGACCGAGTGTGGCTCGGGCAGAGGTGCGCCCTCGGTGAAGCTGAGGTGAAGCTGAAGCGGGTCCCTGCAGGCTGCAGGAGACAATGGCTATGTCCTCGGGCCGGGAGGAGCTGGGACAGGTGGGAAGTGGGAAAGCCATTGGGTCTGACCTGCAGTTATGGAAGGATCCCCTCTGGCTGCCAGGAGAAAGGGTGGAGGGAGAGCCGTGAGGAGGGGGCACAGAGCCCCCAGGAAGAGATGAGCAGTGCTGGGGGGCTAACTGGATGGGAGGCGCTGCCTGGGTGTGATGGCACTGTTACAAGTGGAGAGGTGGGAGGAGGAGGGGGTGGAGGGGGAGAGGCCGCCTGGGGAGTTGAGTCTGAGTGGCCGGGGGTGTGCCGATGGAGTTGTCCCGGTGGATGCCACTGACCTGGCCACACAGAGCCTGTGGGAGGCAGGGCGGCCACTGAGGTTCAGAGATGGCAACTGGTCTGTCCAAGGTCCGCGGCCAGAGTCGGGCCCCGGCAGCCAGTCCTACCCCTCTTCTCCGCCCCTCTCCTTGGCGTTGGCCCAGCGGCGTGAGGGCCGGCTGCTGCCAGGCTGCAGCGGAGGCTGCTCTGCCGAGGCCTGGGTCAGGTCAGCCTGTGGCCTTCTGAGCAGCCCTGCCCAGCTCTGGTCTCTCCCCACAGCCCAGCACAATCTGTTCAAAACCGGAGCAGAAGAGTGGGTCCTGCTTAACGTCAACGTGACGGGCTATTACCAGGTGAACTACGATGAGAACAACTGGAGGAAGATTCAGAATCAGCTGCAGAGAAGACCGCTGGTGGGTACCTGCCGCCCCACCCATCCCCTGCCCGAGGCCCAGCCCCACGACGGGGTCCCAGACTGCAGGGCCTGCCCGCACCGCCAGCCCGAGGTCACACGCTCTGTTGCCCCTTCTAGACCATCCCTGTCATCAATCGGGCACAGGTCATCTACGACAGCTTCAACCTGGCCAGGTGAGTGCTCAGCCATGGAAGCCTGGAGACTTGGTGAGTGTGGTTCCATAGTGAGAGCCAGTGCTGCCTGCCGCCGTCCTCACCGTGTGCCAGGCTCAGCACCGTGGGCTCCCTGTGCTTGTGCACACCCCTCCCTTGGCCCCATGTCCCCGGAGATTGTCAGTGTCACAGCCCATACTTCCCAGAGAAGGGCTCTGAGATTCAGAGCTTGAGTACCCTGCCTGAGGTCACACATTAGCCCATGACAGCCAGACGCAGTCCTGTCCAACTCCAAAACCACAGTGCACTCCACGGCACCAAGGTTTTCCGGAGGGCTACCTATGGCCCAGGCCACCATGCTCAGTGCTAAGAAAGATACGGGAAGGACAGGATAGAAGAGATGCAGCATGGATAAACAGGCATTTATTGAGCGGCTGCTGTGTTCATGAGCACCAGTAGGTGCCAAGTTCTTAGACATAAGTGATGTCACCCATAGACATGGACATTTATGAACCAAATATGCACAGATGGCCTGAGGAGGTGGAGGGAGGAAAGACCAGAGAGCCAAGCAATCAGAGAAGAGGTGGGCAGAGTAAATAGCACAGGTTTCTTGTCTTTTTGAATTTCTGATCTGTCTCCTGTGGGCTGTGTGGCCTTAGGCAAGGCACTTTACCTCTCTGAGCCTCAGTTTCCTCACCTGTAAAATGGGGATAATGAGCAAGGAAATGTGACTGGCAGTGGGTGAGGGCCAGGCCTGGGCTGGCCTCGTTTGTGGCACCACCCAGCATCCACATCCCTCACCCCTACCCCCAGCCCCACCCCTGGGGAATGCTGGAGTTGGCTCAGTTGGGCCTCTGGGACCTCAGGCTCTAGGAGGAGGTTGGGGTTCCCACAGTGAGGCTGGACTGGGTGGGGGTGCTTACTTGAGCCCCTCTGTCTGTTCCCAGTGCCCGTATAGTCCCTGTCACCCTGGCGCTGAACAACACCCTCTTCCTGAAAAACGAGAAAGAGTACATGCCCTGGCAGGCCGCCCTGAGCAGCCTGAGGTACTTCAAGCTCATGTTCGACCGATCCGAGGTCTACGGCCCCATGAAGGTACAGAGGGGCATGGCAGGGTTCAAGGACCAATTCCCCAGTGCCTGAAATTATACCATAAGGAAGTGAATAGAAACATTGCCTGGAATGGTGAAACACGCCAAGTCCTTGGCAGTGGTGAGAGAGTAGGAGGGATGTAGTGTGAAGGGAGCAGGGATTGAGAAGGTGAGCAGGTTGGGCACAGCAAAGAAAGGACACAGACTTCTAGCAAGGTTTGCTTGATTTGGAAATTAGCAAATCCTTCTTTCAGAAGGCAACAGAAAAAGCCACAGAACAGGAAGGGGGTGGGAGTGAGGGAGAAGGCCTTTTACCAGCTGTGTGGACTCAGGCAATCCTCTTCAGACCCAGAGAACACCTCTGTGAAAGGAGCGGGCCTGTGCCTGCCTAGCCTGCCCTAAGGGCCTGGAGGGGGATGCCGATGTTAACAGTTTTGAAGCTTGGGGGCACGGGCAGGGAGGATCAGAGGGAAGCTGCTTGCTCTGGATCCATAGCTGAACCCATAAGGATGTTCATTGAAGTGTGGTTTATAAAAGACAAGAAAACCAAAAATACTCCAATGTCCAACAGTTGGAGTTGGTTAAGTAAACTAGAATATCCATTTGATGGGATATTATGTAGTCATTAAAAATGTTTTTCACATGATTAACTAACTGTTATGGTAAATGAGGTTTTAACTCACTTTAAACTCATTAACCTACCTACACCTTGGATTCACCCCATCCTCCTAATGTAGTAAAATCACAGTATTTGGTCAACTCAGTATTCAGCATTTACTTTATGTGATTATTTAAATATCATTCTCCACTGAGCCACATAAAGTACCATGTTTGTGTCTCCTTTTTTATACATCTTATACAAATGTATCAGATAATACATTAATTTTGCTTTTTCCTGGAGGCATCCCTCCTGGTGCCCTCTGTCGGCCTGCTCCCTTCTAGAACTGCTACTCAGCTCCCATGCTGGGAGGCTCTCCATTGTTGCATCTCTTGTTTCCTGAACCCATGGATTCTTCCTTGAGTTTTCTCTCTATTAGGGGAGCACATCTTCCAGTTTTGGAGAAAGGGTTCATAAGAGGTGGATTTTTTCAGGTAGATTGTCTGAAATGTCTTTATTCCACCTTCACACTGCATTGAGAGTTTGCTTGGGTTTAGAAGTTTCTAGGTTGAGGGACTTCCCTGGCGGTCCAGTGGTTAGGACTCTGTGCTTCCACTGTAGGGGGAATGGGTTCAATCCCTGATCAGGGAACTAAGATCCCACATGCCTCGCAGCATGGCCAAAAAAATTAAAAAAAAAAAAAAAGTAGTTTCTATTTTGGAAATTATTCCTCAGGAAATTTCAGGTCTTGCTCCATTGACATCAAACCTCTCATGTTTCTGTTGAGAAGCCCAGGGCCTTTCTTATTTCCAGTTCTTTGAATGTGGCCAGGTTCCCCTTCTGGAAGCTGTGGGCTCTTCTCTCCATGCTGGTGGTCCTTCATGCAGGCCTTTCTTATCCTTCTACATTTTCAACCTGGACAACTTTGCATTGCTCCTTTAAACTTTCTTCCTCTCCTTTTTCCCCCGGTTCTCTCTTTCTGGGACACTTGTTAATCCAATTCACTGCCCTTACATTGGTCCTCTAGTTTTCTTCTCTCCTATTTTCCGGCTTGTTGACTTCTTGTTCTGACCTCTGGGATATGCCCTCAGTTTAGCACACCGCCTCTCCTCATTTTTTTCTATCATATATTTAAGTTTCCAAGTGCTATTCCTGGCTCCAGCGTCCTATGCAATATCTTCCCTGAACTCTTGGAAGATATTTATCATAGGCTTTTATGAAGTTTTCTTTTTCTTTCACTGACTTGTTTCCTCCAAGTCTTCTGTCTGTTTTGATCTCCTCTTTCAAGTTGGAAGCTGAGCTGCCCCTTTGAATTTGAGAGTGAGGCAGTGGTTGAAAGCTCCACGAGGAGGTGGAGTTTGTCACCTGCAGTCTTGTTATGGGGTGACTAAGTAACTCCTCGTGGGGACCCTCAAAAATTAATATCTGTGACTGTGTTCCCTTGAGACCATTCAGTCTCCAGAGTGATCCTCTGTCTTGTGCAGTTTAGGCTCACTTTCTGGGATCAGGGTGGGGAAGGAAACTGGGGGGGTACCTCCATTTAGGCTGTAAACTTTCACCTCTGGCCCTCTCTGCAATTCAGCAACCCTCCCACTGTGTCTGGGGACCCTAGTGCTGAGCCCCTCTGATTCAGCCTTACTCATGGGAGAGGGAGGGGTGTTGCTTGAGGCAGGGAGGGAAGTGGGCGCTTGAGGGTTTAATTAGTCCCTCTACAGACTTGGACTCCATTGCCCTGTTCACAGCCCGGCCTCACTCCTGTCCCCTGCACACCCATCCCTCTAATCCCGAGCCTCGCCACAGCAAGTCTCCTTGCTTCTGTCTCCATCTCCCCCATGGCAGGTGCTCTGCTGCAGACCCCCGCCTTGGCCAAGCCTGTTCCATCTCCCTCTCTCCACCTCCCAGCTCCTACACTGTGTGGCCGTCTCATCCACTGTTGTTTCCTTTCCAATTCTCTTTGCTCTTGGGGGTTTATTCCTTTAACGTTTGGATGCGGATTCTGGTTGACACACATGATAATCTACTCTACTGAACCAGCGTCTGCAAAGGAGTTTAGTAACATAGGTTGGGCCTTACACGACAATGCCAGCTAAAAGAACAGCATGCAGAATTGTAGATATGCTGGGTAGAAAAGAGAAAGGAAGGGGCAAACTCACCAATTTGGGAGTCATGGATTTGGTAAGTTCTGGGGTGGTTAGTATTTTCTGCCTATGCTTTACAGTGTTTTCTAAATTCCCCACAATAAAGGCAGAATACTTATGATCAGGTGGTGGGGGATGGTAGGCCCTAAAACTATATTAGGAAATGGTGATACTTAGACATCAGTGTCAGAACTGGTTGAGGAGAAAGAATCTCAGATCAGTCATCTGAGACCTGAACTAGCGCCGGCTCCTTTGACCACTATCTGGCCTTGGGCGAGGCCCTTAGCCTCTGGCCTCTTGCTTCTGTAGCCATTAGCCCTTGCTACACTTGCCCACCCACATCAGAGGCTCCGTGGGGCTCCAGGTGGGTCAGGCATGAGTCTCTTCTTTGAGGCTGTTCATGTTTTCTTTTTCCCAGAATTACCTCAGGAATCAGGTTGAACCCCTCTTCCTATATTTTGGAAATCTCACCCAAAACTGGACTATGCGCCCAGAAAGCCTGATGGACCAGTGAGTATGACCTCTCTTGGGCCTGGAGATCACAGGTGGCCCAGGCACCCTGACCTGGGAACTCCAGAGCAAGTCCTAGCAGCATTCTCCTCTGAAGTTCCCAACTCCTGGCTGGACCAGGGCCACCAGTCAGGGAGAGACCCACCCACCCACTAGGAATAGGGAGCCCTGCCCTGAGGCTCTATGTGGCCTCTTTGTACAAAGGACCAAACTGAAATTTCAAGGTCCCCTCACCGGCATTGTTATTCAGATTCTAGGTGTTGAAGGTGGGGCTGGAGTCTGTGCCCACCCTCCCTGGGCTGCCCAAGGCAAGAAGCAAAGAGGGGGACCCAAAGGGCGGGAGGGCTGCAACCTTAGAGCCCCAGCCCTGCTGCCCTTCCTGGAGTTGTGTGTCAGCAGGGGAGTCTTTGCCAGAGTCAGAGCCAGGCATGCTGACAGATTGTCACCCCTGGGGCAGGTACAATGAGATTAATGCCATCAGCACTGCCTGCTCCAATGGGCTGCCTAAGTGTGAGGAGCTGGCCAAGAACCTTTACAACCAGTGGATGAAGAACCCCCAAAATAACCCGTGAGTGTGTCCCCTGCTTGTCTCCTGATCTTTATCTGTCCCTCAAGCTCACAGCCCTGCCCTCATCAGACCCTCGTCCTGCCCTCCCTGCTGCTACTCTACCCCTGACACCCTGACCCCACACCAGGATCCATCCCAACCTGCGGTCCACCATCTACTGCAACGCCATCGCCCAGGGCGGCCAGGAAGAGTGGGACTTCGCCTGGAGGCAGTTACGAGAAGCCCGACTGGTTAATGAAGCTGACAAACTCCGCTCAGCGCTGGCCTGCACCAACCAGGTCTGGCTCCTGAACAGGTGAGGACCAGAGCTGGACGGGGCTGGGTGAGTTCCCCTCCCCGCCGGGGACCAGGCTCCCAATGTGGGGGAGAAAGAACCAGCCAGGCGCCCACACTCTCCTCCGTGGGATCCTCGCAAACCTGTGCAGTGGAGCAGTGTGTTTCCCAGTTTTACAGATGAGGACACTGAGGCTCAAAGAAGCAAAACAACTTGCCCAAAGTCTAGAAGCTTTACTAAGTGAGAAAAACAAGATTTGAATCTGGATCTGGGTCCACGTCCTGTGCTTTTAACTGCTGCAGTCTCCTAGCCTTTACCTCTCTGTCAAGGGCTGTGGTGCACCTGGACCTGAGGCCTTCTGGACATCCAGCTGGGCACCCCCCAAACCCTTGGATGAGGGCTCCTGGCTCCCACTGTGTGCCTCATATGCCATCTTCTGTACTTCAGTAAAGAAGAGCTACCCTCAATGTCAAAGACAGGAGTGGCCATCCTACCTGGTGCAGCGCTTACCCCTTCCTTCGTTCATTCATCGTCAGATATTTATCAAGCACTTGGTCTATGTCAGTATGATACCTAGCATAGCCAGTGACCCTGCTTAGGGGACTCAGTGTCCCATCTACAGGAGGGCGGTGGGACCGAGGAGTCTTTAACCCGCAGCATGCTGAAGGCATGTTGAGAGGTTGCAGGAGAGGTGTGTGGGGTGGAGGGCAGGGTCCTTTTACTTATTACGCAGCATGTTGTCCTCACAGGTACCTGAGTTACACCCTGAACCCAGACCTCATCCGGAAGCAGGATGCCACCTCCACCATTAACAGCATTGCCAGCAACGTCCTCGGGCAATCTCTGGCCTGGGACTTTGTCCAGAGCAACTGGAAGAAAATCTTTCAGGAGTGAGTCTGCTGAGAGCATGTTAGGGGAAGCGCACACCAAGGCTGCGTCCCCTGGGGGTGGGCTGTGTGCACCAGACCCTGTAGGGTTGGGAGTGGACGGTAGACACTGCATCGGAGTGGTCCAAAAAGAACCCAGCTTGAGGTCGGGAAGGGACAGGAATTGAAAGATGTGGCAGCGGGGCACAGCCGTCCCTTTTCCCACTTGGGGGAAAGAAAGTCTGGCTGGTGGGAGTGTTCTCTGAAGAGATGGGAGCAAGGACACTGCAATCAAACCTGTGTTCAAGTCCCTAGTGGTGTCTCCTTGGACATGTCATTTCATCACATCTACGAGATAGGGACAGTCACAGGGTCCTGTGTCGCCTGCCAGTCACTGAACGTTGGTTCCTGGCCCCCCTCACGGTTCCTCTCTCTCCCTGCCCTGCAGTTACGGCGGTGGTTCCTTCTCCTTCTCCAACCTCATCCACGCTGTGACCCGAAGATTCTCCACTGAGTTCGAGCTGCAGGAGGTAAGAAGCCCCGGACCTTGGGGCAGCACCCAGAGGCCCATCCCCAGTCTCAAGGGACAGCTGCCACTCAGCTCCCACCGCATGTGTTCACAAGGCAGCGGGGCTCCATGTGGTCAGGCCTTCCTCATGTACAGGGGAAACTGGGTATCCAGACTTTCTAAATGTCACAATTCAATCACAGATATTCATCTTGGAATTTTTGTATAGGCAAAAGGTAAAGAGAATAATATAATGAACCTCCACGTACCCGTTACTCAGATTGAACAATTGTTAACATTTGCTGACACTTTTTTGGGGTGGACAGTTTTCAAGCTAATCACTGATATTATATAATTTCACCTATAAACACTTTAGTCATATCTAAAATAAAGGAATTTAAAAACATAATCTATCATTAGCAAATACAAGAAAATTAACAATGCCTTACTATCATCTTATACCCAGGCCATTTTCAAATTCTGTCTTTTTTTTTTTTTTTGGCCGTGCCACAGCCGCTTGTGGGATCTTAGTTCCCTGACCAGCAATTGAACCTGTGCCCCCTGCATTGGGAGCACAGAGTCTTAACCACTGGATCACGAGGGAAGTCCCCTATGTTCATGTTTTTGAGTGAACCTCTGTTTTTAGTTCTTGTGGGTGTACACCTAGGAGTGGAATTGCTAGGTCATTTGGTAACTGTGTTTAACTTTTTGAGAAACTGCCAAAATGTTTTCCAAAGCAACTGCACCAACTTACATTCCCACCAGCAATGTATGAAGGTTCCAATTTCTTTATGTTTGGGGGAGAATTGTTATTTTCCTTTTTTAAAAAATTATGGCCATCCTACTGGGTGCAAAGTGGTATCTCACTGTGGTTATGAGTGGCATTTCTCAGATGACTAATGATGTTGAGCATCATTTCATGTGCTTCTTGGCCGTTTGTATATCTTCTTTGGAGAAATGTCTATTCAAATCCTTCACTCATTTTTTTTTTAAAAAAATATTTATTTATTTATTTTTGGCTGCATTGGGTCTTCATTGCTGTGCGTGGGCTTTCTCTAGTTGCGGCGAGTGGGGGCTGCTCTTCGTTGTGGTGCACCAGCTTCTCATTGTGGTGGCTTCTCTTGTTGTGGAGCATGGGCTCTAGGCACGCGGGCTCAGTAGTTGTGGCTCGTGGGCTCTAGAGCACAAGCTCAGTAGTTGTGGCACGCGGGCTTAGTTGCTCTGCGGCATGTGGGATCTTCGCGGACCAGGGCTCGAACCCGTGTCCCCTGCCTTGGCAGGCGGATTCTTAACCACTGTGCCACCAGGGAAGCCCCCTTCACTCAGTTTTTAATTGGTGTATTTGTCTTTTTATTGTTGAGTTACAAGAGTTCTTTATATATTCTGGATACCAGGCCCTTATTAGACAAATGATTTGCAAATATTTTCTCCCATTTTGTGGATTGTCTTTTCAGTTTCTTGATAGTGTCTTTGATACACAAAGTTTTCGATTTTTAAAAAAATATTTATTTATTTATGGCTGCATTGGGTCTTCATTGCTGCACGTGGGCTTTCTCTAGTTGCGGCAAGCTGGGGCTACTCTTCGTTGTGGTGCGCGGGCTTCTTGCTGCGGTGGCTTCTCTTGTTGTGGAGCACGGGCTCTAGGCACGAGGGCTTCAGTGGTTGTGGCACGTGGGCTCAGTAGTTGTGGCTCACAGGCTCTAGAGCACAAGCTCAGTAGTCGTGGTGCAGGGGCTTAGTTGCTCCGGGGCATGTGGGATCTTCCCGACCCAGGGATCGAACCCATGTCCCCTGCATTGGCAGGTGGATTCTTTACCACTGAGCCACCAGGGAAGTCCAAAAGTTTTTTATTTTGATGAAGTCTAACTTTCTATTTTTCTTTTGTTGCTTGTGCTTTATGTGTCATATATAAGAAACAATTACCTAATCCTAGGTCACAAAGATTTACACCTATGCTTTTTACTAAGATTCTTATCATTTTAGCTCTTACATTTAGGAGTGATCAATTTTGACTTAATTTTTGTACATGGTGTAAGGCAGAGGTCCAATTTCATCCCTTTGCATGTGGCTATCCAGTTGTCCCAGTACCATTTATTAAAAGGACTATTCCTTTTTTTTGTAATATCATTAATTTATTAAAAAATTTTATTGGAGTATAGTTGATTTACAATGTTGTGTCAGTTTCAGGTGTACAGCAAAGTGGTTCAGTTATACATATACATATATTCATTCTTTTTCAGATTCTTTTCTCATATAGCTTATCACAGAATATTGAGTAATGCTCCCTGTGTTATACAGTAGGTCCTTGCTGGTTATCTGTCTTATATATAGTGGTGTGTGTATATTAATCCCAAGGTCCTGATTTATCTCTCCTGGCCCCCATGTTTCCCCTTTGGTAAGCATAAGTTTGTTTTTGATATCTGTAAGTCTGTTTCTGTTTTGTAAATAAGTTCATTTGTATCATTTTAAAAAAATAGATTCCACATATAAATGTTATCTATGATATTTTTCTTTCTCTGTCTGACTTACTTCATTTAGTATGATAATCTCTAGGTCCATCCATGTTGCTGCAAATGGCATTATTTCATTCTTTTTTATGGCTGAGTAATATTCTATTGTAGATATGTACCACATCTTCTTTATCCATTCCTCTGTTGATAAAAGGACTATTCTTTCACCCATTGAATGATCTTGGCACCTTTGTTGAAAATCATTTGACTATAAATTTTAGGGTCTATTTCTGGACTCTCAATTCTATTTCATTGATCTGTTTGTCTTTATGCTAGTACACATTGTCTTAGTTATCATAGATTTGTAGTGAGTTTTGAAATCGGGATTGTGGGCCCTCCAACTTTGTTCTTTTTCAAGATCATTTGGCTATTCTGAATCTTTGCATTTCTTTATGAATTTTAGGATCAGCTTGCCAATTTCTGCAAAAAAATACAGTTGGAATTTTGATAGAGATTGTATTGAATCTGTAGATCAATTTGGGAAGTATTTCCATGTTAGTAATATTAAAACTACCAATCCATTAACACAGATTTATTTGTCATTATTTTTCCTTTTATTTAGGTCTTCTTAATTTTTCTCAACAATATTTTATAGTTTTCAGCATACTGGTCTTGCACTTCTTTTGTCAAATTTATTCCTAAGTATTTTATTCTTTTTGATGCTATTGTAAATGGAACTGTTTTCTTAATTTCTTTTTCAGATTTTTCACAACTAGTGTATAGAAATACAATTGATCTTTGTATATTGCTCTTATATCCTGCAACCTTGTTGAACTCATAAGTTTTAACAGTTGTGCTTTTTTATTTTTCGATTCCTTGGGATTTTCTGTATACAAAATCGTGTCATCTGCAAATAGAGATAGTTTACTTCTTCCTTTCTGGATGCTTTTAATTTCATTTTCTTGCCTAATTGCCCTCGCTACAACCTCCAGTACTAATACATCTTTTAATCTGTAGCATCTCTTTAAAAAAATAACCAACAAAAAAACATTTATTTGCTCAAGCAACTGGGCCATTTGTACTATAGAAATGGCCACATTTTGAATTTGGCTGGTTGCTTCCTTGTGGTGTCTGTTTAATTTGTTCCTCTCTCCTCCCTTGATTGGATTGAGATTGTAATTCATTTAAAAACTGAGGATCAACTCAATAAGAACCTCACAATGAAGATTAAATACCTGTAGGAGCCAGGCTGAACCTTGGGGCAGTCTTTTTTTTTTTTTAATAAATTTATTTATTTTTGGCTGTGTTGGGTCTTTGTTGCTGCATGCAGCCTTTCTCTAGTTGCAGCAAGCAGGGACTATTCTTAGTTGTGGTGCGCGGGCTTCTCACTGCAGTGGCTTCTCTTGTTGCAGAGCGCGGGCTCTCGGCGTGCGGGCCTGCTTCAGTAATTGTGGCTCGCGGGCTCTAGAGTGGAGGCTCAGTAGTTGTGCCTCGCGGGGTCTAGAGTGGAGGCTCAGTAGTTGTGGCGCATGGGCTTAGTTACTCCGAGGCATGTGGGATCTTCCTGGACAAGGGCTTGAACCCGTGTCCCTTGCATTGGGAGGCGGATTCTTAACCACTGCACCATGAGGGAAGCCCAGGGCTGTCATTTTTGACCCCTGCCAGGGAGAGGGAAGGACTGGCCCTGCCTGTCCTGGAGAACAGGCTGTGGTCCCCATTCCCATGTTAGGGGCCCTAACATGGAGAGGGAGGACAGAGGATCTGGCAGCTCTCTCCTCAGGGCTGTGTTAGAGACCTAACCAGGGGCTCAGAATTATCCTTTTCCTCGCAGCTGGAGCAGTTCAAGAAGAACAACATGGATGTAGGCTTCGGCTCAGGCACCCGGGCTCTGGAGCAAGCCCTGGAGAAGACCAAAGCCAACATCAAGTGGGTGAAGGAGAACAAGGAGGTGGTGTTAAAGTGGTTCACAGAACACAGCTAAATAGTCCCTGGTGCTTACAGTCACCTGGCCCCCATGTAAGATGCCCACGTGTGTCTATCCAAGTGGCTCACGGTAGGGCCCCCATTCCTGAAGCCTGAGGCACCCGTGTCATCCCCTTAGGAACAGAGTCTCTGGCCCATGTTCTCTCCACTCTGCCCAGGGGGCCAATCCAGTTTCTGATGGCCAGACTGTCCAAGTGCCTCCCAGCCCCTGCCCCTCATGCCAACCCCACCCCAGGCCTGGCATGGCTCCTGTCACCCAGGGCCCTGGGGCTGATCTCAGGGAAGTCCAGCTCAAGGGCCAGATGAGCAGAGGCCCTTGATGGATGATGGACTGCCTTGGAGGGCTGCCCTGTGCCCTCTCTCACCCTCCCATAAAGACCCTGAACCTGAGGAGTCAACAGAGCACCAGATCTGTATATTTTTTTCTAAGATAAAATATAAATAAAGGATTTCTAGATGAGCTTCCAGACTCATTACTAAACTAGAGCAGGAGTGGATCTGCACAACAGCTAGAGAACCTGGGGTGCGTGGGGGCCTTGGACCCCCAGGAAACATAGGAAGGAAGAAGTACCCAGCCTGCCGGTCCTTCCTAGAACACCTGTATGGCAGTGTCTGCCTGCAGTGTTCATTTCATTGGCAGGATTGAGACTCTGGGTGCTGGGGAACCACTGGAGGTGGAAGGAATGGGGACACAGCAGTCCCCAAGGTGGAGTAGGGCTTGGTGCCAGACACAGAGCAGGTCCTGACAGTGGAGGGAGTGCTCTTCCAGAAAGCAGGAGTTTCCATGGTTTCAGAAGCTAGGATTTGCACCTGAACTAGCGTAAGGCAAGTTCAGGGAGCAGGGTGCTGGCTGGGCCCCTCTTCCTGCACTGCAGCCAGCACACCTGGGAGAGTGAGAGAAAAGGGCTCACGGTAAGGGCAGCAAGCCCTGGGTCCAGGCCTGGTGTGACCACTCACTGGCCAAGGGCATGTCCTGCCACCTCTCCAGGATCCCTGGGTGGCATATCAGTTTGTAAAGTGGTTGTTTTCAAGAGTAGCATACAGAAAAAGGCAGGTGCTCTCCAGATCACCTGGGGCAGCCAGTGATCAGGGCCAACTCTGAGGAGAAGGTCTGGGACCCGCAGGGCTCCACGGCCCACATCAGCCTTGGTGGAAATTTCTTGGCAAAGGAGGTCCAGCTGAGCACCCAAGGCTGGTGGGAGGGAAAGAGGGAGGTAACAGATAGCTCAGGCTCCTCAGGGGTCACCTCCAGTTGACCCCACCTGTGAGCTGCTCCAGCTGAAGTCTTCAAGTCCAGCCTGTTTCTTGACCCCTGGGCTTTGGTTTCCTCATCTGCACGATAAAGACGATCTATCGTAGGGTTGGTGTGTGGATCTAAGGAGATTCACGTACTCAGCACACAGTCTGACACTTGAGAGCAGGGTGTTACTATCATCCTTAGCCCTGTCTCCTGCTCAAGGCCCCATTCATCCTTTTTCCTCCCAGCCTCTTCCTCCTTGTGAGAAGCGCGCCAGCGGGCCTGGGGCCAGGAAGGCTCCTCCACGCTCCACTGCCTTCCGCATATCAAAGGATGGGGCGGGCCAAGGGGTGGGACCAGCCTTGGTTATGGGTCCCTCCACCAACCAGGAGGCTCCCCCCAGCCCAGCCTCTCCGGACCAGCCCTTCCTGTCGCCAGGGCCCAGCTGCCGGCGGCTGGCACTTGACCTTCGGGGGACCAGAGGGCAGGCGGCCCCCTCAGGTGGTCCCCGCTGGGGGAAGGACCAGCACCGCCATCTAGGGTCCCTGGGGGAGCCAGGTAGGAGAGTCAGCAGGGACCCTAGTCTCGGTGCCTGGCACTGGGCTAAGTGTTTATGCGCATTATCTCATTTGGTTTTCAACAGTCCCAGGAGATAAGGACTGTCTTTATCTCAGTTTTGCAGATAAGGAAACCGAGGCGCGGGAAGGTTAAGACCCCACCTCTAATGCCCGTGCATGAGTGGAAGCTGGCCCTGCATTGGGGGCTACGGTAGTTAGGCACTCGTCACCTCACAGCTCACAGTGCAGGCATTCATGACTGCTTGTGGGGCTGGAGGAGATCGGTACTGAGGATGCAGCGAGGACATGCAAAGCCAGAGACCTGCTTGCAGAACCTAGCTCAAGGTCGGATGCAGAACAGGAGCTGCCTAGAACTCTGACTGCTCATTCCCTATCCAGCGCTCCGTCTACAGGTAGGTTGACTTCTCACGGCCAGTGGGGGGCCCTGAGGATCAGCCAGAAGCAGCAGTGGGGGGGGGCCTCTCCCACCTCCCCACCCTCCAGGAGACTCCTCAGGAGGCACGTCCTCTGCACTGCAGGGTCATTGAGAAGCCCCAGGTGAGGTACTCGGTGAATGTCCAGTCTCTTATGGATGGTGACTGGGTCCCCAGGAAGGTGTAGGTGGACCAGTCATCCCAGGCAGGGCACCAGCATCAGCCCCTCTCCCTCCCCTGCCAGGCACTTAGCACAGAGGTGCAGCCAAGAGCAGCCTGTCTGGGATGGAGCCACACATGAGAGTGAGGGGCTGCTGCTCCTGAGAGGCAGGGCTGAGCCTGCCCTCCCAGAGGGTGAGGACAGGGGTGGGGGATTAGCCCAAGCCCCCGGCAACTCCAGCTGGGGTGATAGCAGCCTTTTGCCTCTGCCTTTGCATCTCCCAGAGGAGCTGGGAGAAGAAGGCTGCCAAATTCCAGAAGATGCTCAGCTCTGGCTGGCCCTTGCCGTGGCCATCAGTGACTGGACCAAGGACTGAGCCCAGATAGGCGGAAGCCAAAGGAAGGAGATGGGCAGCTGTTCAGTTCCGCCTTAGGTGCAGGTGCCATGAGACTGTGGAGCCAAGTCCTTGCATCTTCTTGAGAAGGAGAGAGCACTGGACAGGGAGTCAGGGGCTTGATGTTGCAACCTAGCTGGAGGGCTAGAGAAAGTTGCTCCTCTCCCTGGGCCAGTTTCCTCAGCTGTAAAACGAAGGAGCAAAAAATAGCCATTGCTCCCAAACCTGGTTGGGCTTCGGCTCCAGGTTCCCAGGTCCCGGCCCGATGCACTGAATCACACTCTCAGGGTGGGACCCTGGAACCAGAGGGCTCAACATGCAGTCAGGTGAGGGAACCACCAGACTGGATCATCTCTAAGTTCGTGTGATTCTATTCAGCTATTATGTATTGAGCAATTACTATGTGCCAAGCCTAAGAACCCTGAGAGGTAGGGTCTATTATTGTTGCCACTTCACAGCTGAGGAGACTGAGAGTCAGGGAGGTTTTGTTCGTTTTTTGTCTTTTTAATTTTTTGGCCGTGCTGTGCAGTATATGGGATCTTAGTTCCCCAACCAGTGATTGAACCTGCGCTCCCTGCATTGGAAGCTTGGAGTCTTAACCACCAGACTGCCAGGGAAGTCCCCAGGGAGGTTTTGAAGCTTGCCCACGGTTACACAGAGAGTAAGAGCTGAATGAATGTGCAACCAGGGCAGCTGTGCCCGGTATCTGTCTCCCTGCTGCATGTAACCTTGTGTGAGCTTTTCCCATCCTCCGCTGTGGCAGGCAGCCCCTACAGAGGGTCCTGGGGTAGGAACCAGAACCCACTTCTAAAAGGTTGGGGGAAGAAGGCACTGCAGTGGTCACCTAATCCAGCTCCTCTTTAAGAGATGGGGAAACTGAGGCACAGAGATGGAGTGACTTGCCTGGCGTCAAAGGGCATGTCAGCAGGCAGTGGGTCAGATGGGAGGCCCTGCATGTGGCAGCTCACTCTCTGGTCTTCCTCCTGCCTCTGCTCTCGCCCTGCACCGTTAACAGTGGCCCCCTGCCAGGCTCCATTTCTATAAGGCAGTCCAAAAGACCAAGAGTGGCTCTGACCAGCCCACCCCCTACCCTCCACCTTCACTGCCCCCTCCACCCAGGACACAGAGGCCAGATGCCTCCCCCTGCCGCCACGTGGGGCTCCCCACAACCCCGCCTCCCAGCTCCTTTTCCAACTCAATTTGTCACTTTTCCCCTTCAGTCCTGGACTTCAACCACCTCTTTCAACTTGGCTCACGCTGTTTCTTCTGCCTACTCCTCTTGGTGAACTCCACACATCCTTCAATACTCAGTTCCAACATCCTGCAACTCTCCCCTCTCCGAGTCAGAAACAGAATGAAGTCACCACCACTGCTGGCTCCCAAGCCTATGGCAGCCTTTGCTAATGGATCATGGTGCCCTTACCCCAAGATCCTGGAGGTGCCTCTTAGTCTTGCTCAAAGCCACATAAATCAATGCGGCAGGACTAATGGATCAGGTAACTCAAGAATGCAACAGCACTGTCAACCCCATCTCCCACCAGGCTGGCATATCCTCTCTGGTCCCAAAGTACCTTGTATAAACCCCCATCTTGACCTGGGCTCTGATCATTTTCTTCCCTGTAATTTACCCCATTAGTCAGGGCACGTTTTCTCTAGCACCTAGTACTGGGTGTTGTGAGCTGAACTGTGTTCCCCCACAACTCTTGGTGAAGTTCTAACCCCCAGTATCTCAGAACATGAATGTATTTGGAGATAGAGCCTTTAAAGAGGAACTTAAGGTAAAATGACTTCACGTGGGTGGGCCCAAATCCAATATACTGGTGTCCTTGTAAGAAGAGATTAAGACACAGACGCAGAGACTGGACCATGGGATAACCATGCAAGGACACAGCAAGAAGGCGGCCATCTGCAAGCCAAGGAGAGAGGCCTCAGAAGAAACCAAACCTGCTGACCCCTTGGTCTTAGACTTCCAGTCTCCAGAACTGTGAGAAAATCAATTTCCGTTGTTTAAGCCACCCAATTTGTGGTATTGTCTTATGGCAGCCCTAGTAAACTAATACACTGGGCCTAGCACATGGGAGCCACTCACAAGCACCCTTTGGAAACAACTTCAGATAACTGTGAAAGAGCCCTATGGGTCAGCAGGAATGCACCCAGGAGAATGCAAAAGGGCAATGGTGACGGGCTTCAGGCAAGTGAACAGGCCCGAACGTTAACTCACCTGTGTCGCCTGCACAGCAGGCCAGGTGGAGCCCCTGCGCAATAATTACTGTCAAACTGGCAAGTGAGGGCCTGAATTCCAGGAGGGGAAAGCAGCATGATTTGTCCCCTGCAGGACGGGAACGTTTTTCCTTTTCCAGAAGCAATAAAAACCCAAGTGGATAGAAGAAAAACAGACCAAACCAAATTTGGGTGTTTCTTTTGGTTTTTTTTTTTAAGAAGTACAAAATCTAAGCATATACTTTTCTTCCCACTCCCATCCCCACCCACCCCCAAGCCCACTCCCCCACCAGTCCCAGCCTGTCCAACCACTGTGGTCAAACAACGCATGTTACTGCAGCTCAGGTTGTGCTCTGCAGAACACTGGTCGTTCTGGGGGGCATCTAGGAGTGGAGGGACTGCCCCAGCCCCGACTTCAGCCAGGGAGGCCACCCGTAGCTGTTTCAAACACTGCTTCCATGAAAGACATCCCTTGGAAAAGGGATCCTTGGCTAAAACAAAGCCTGAATACTAGTGAAGTAGCAGGTGAGGAGGACACCCCACGCTACAGGCCTGATTCCTGGCTGGAAAGTGGGCAGCCAAGGCCATTAGTAGAAGATGCCCAGGTGAGTCCCCTCCAAATCTTCTTGCCAAAATTCAGGGCAGCCACTGAGCTGTAGGCCTGAGCTCTGGGGAGGGCTTTCATCACTGAGCTGGAAGGCGGGGCCTGGTCCCTGGTCCTCCGAGCTGGGCAGCACCTCTGCACTGTGGCTCCAGCATCCCCACTGGGTCTCAGGCTGGAGTCTCTGGCATGCTGGGCGGGGCAGGACAGGAGGGGTTTCTGGCAACAGACAAGGCTCTGGAGACATAGAGATTCCCTGAGAGAGAGAAGAGTAGCGGGTTAGTGGGCCACTGCCTCATGCCCTGAGATCCTGAACCTGGATGTTCCCCATAGTGTGGCTGGTAGCTGCTGAACTGCCCTGGTGCCATGGATCCAGTGAAGCAAAGTGGTTTAGAGTACAAGCTCTGGAGATATACTGCCAGGGCTCAAAACCCAGCTCTGCCACTCCCTAGCTATGAGAACTCAGATAACCTCTTTTAGTCTCAGTTTTTTCATCTATAAAATGGTGATGATGATAATAAAACCTACTTCACAGGGTTGCTGGAGGGCTGATGAGTTAGTTAATTCATGTAAAATACCAAGAATCATGTTGGGCACACAGTAAGCATTCAATAAATTTTGGTTATTAATATGCTCTTTTATGGAAGCTTGAGGAAAGCATGAAGGTCACCAGATCCAAGCCCATCTACTTAGAAAGCCCCTACCCCTGGGGCAGCCAGGCCTCCCTCCCCCTCAAACCTTGATGGAGCACTTGCAAGGAATTTCCTGAATTACCTGAAGGCCCCTGCTACCTTCCACCCTGGACTCTGAAAGCAAGTCTGAAGATTCCCCCTCTTCCACATGACTGTGAAGGCTTCTAGGTAGAGGTGGTGGTGGCCTTAACTTCCCAGGGCCCCCACCTCTTTCCCTAAGGGGGTTAGGGTCTTCTTCATCCTCCCTTCAGCTTTCCATCCCTAACCAGGGTTGGATTAGGTAAACCCGGGATCTAAAAAGCATAAGATTCTCTGCAGACTACAGCTTACTCACCCCCTCCGTTTCCAATCGAAGCCTGGGGAGCACACCGAGGGAAGCGGAGAGAGCCTGGGCGCGTACCTGGTACACTGCAGCCAGCTCCACTGCGGGGGGCGAGGTCCAGGGCGTGGCCTGGTCCCGGGGCTCTGGGGGTGTCTGCGTTCCGGAACAGGCTTGGGGCGGCGTCCAACGAGCTGCGTCAGGGGCTCTCCCTTGGGACAGCTGCGGGGGCGACTGCATCCCGGGGCAGTAAGGGAGTGTCACCCAGGGACCCATATCAGACACCCTGCTCCCCAGGCGCTCGGGCGCCGCTAGGGCTCCGGGACAGACGGGCGGGGACCCCCAGGACACCGTGGCGCTAGCGGCTGAGCCAGGGCCGCACCCTTGCGTCTGCGTCTGCGCCTGCGCGGGGCCGCCGTCGGGGCACAGCGGGCAGCCTCGAGGGACCACTGCGTCGCTGTGCCGCCGGCGCCGGCGCTGCAGGCTCTCCTCGCTGAGGCCCAGCACGGCCGACAGGTGGCCGATGTAGCGGATGGCCAGACGCAGCGTCTCGATCTTGGTCAGGCTCTGGCCGGCAGGCGCCACGGACGGCGGCAGAAAGCGGCGCAACTCGTGCAGGGCGCGGGCGAGCGTGCGCATGCGCAGCTTCTCGCGCTCACTGGCGCTCTGCCGCTGCCCGCTTCCTGGCCGGCTCCGCGCACGTCCAGGTGCCATCGAGGCGGCCTCTGAGGCGCTGCGGGCAGGGGGCGCCGGCTGCGAGGGGCCGCGGGCACGGTCGCAGGGGCAGGAGCCCGACGAATCCGAGGAGGAGGCCGGGGACGTGGAGTCCGAGTGGCCGGTCCAGCCCCAACCCTGCGGGAAGATCCAGTGGTCGTGGCCGAGGAGGCCCTGCAGAGGAGGGGACTGGGCCATGGCCGGGGCTGCGGGCTCTGGGAGGCTGGGCCGGCCACCTCCAGGACTGAGCTTTTATCTGGACCAAAGGTGCGAGGTGGACCCCTGCCACGTTACAGAGAGGTGTCAAAACCCACAGAGCCCAGGGAAGGTCTGGGCAGGGGGCGCCCTGGGAAAGCGGGCCCATTTGCGGAGGTGTGGATTCTGACTCCTCGGGGGCTCTAATGGAGGCCCCTGCAGCCCGGGAAGTGTGGGAGGGACAATTCGCATCTGGATGGAGCTGCTAAGCTTCTCACTGTGTTCCCACCCACTCCGCCTCATCCACTGCTCCGGTGAGTGCCCGGGACCCTGACAGTGGTGGGCAGTGCCATCGTCTGGGGGCGGCCAGGCTGTCCCTCAGGTGACTCAAGGACCCCCGCAAAGAGTGGCCGCCTCCCTCATCACCACCCTCCGGGAGACTGTACCCAGTAACTCCCACCCAGTGCCTACAAGTGTGCTGGATAAGGCGTCAAGACAGACCCCGAGGGACTTGCTCACAGTGATGGCGGGAGAGGGGTTGGGGAAGGAGGGGACATACGGGTGGACCGTTACTGGGTTCCCAGAGCCCGCACTTGCTGCTTTGCTGAGTGACACCGAGAAAGTCATCTCACTGTCCACAGTCAGTTTCTTTCCCTGAGAAATAGTACAGAGCAGCCTGAAGAAGAGGCATGGAGTGTAGTGAGTGATGGAAATGGGGGAATGTGGGCCCCCAGGCAGGCCTGAGTCAGACCCTCTTTATTTGCTGTGTGACCTTGGGCAGTTCACTTAACTCCTCTGAGGCTCAAGTTGCCTCATCCCTGTGGCAGTAAATAAAATACCCACCACCTAGGATGGTTGCTGGTACTAAGTGAAACCATCCATGGGACCACTTAGAATGAGCCTGGCAGGTGGGCTAAATGTTTGCTGCTACCATTTTATTAAGAAAGTACTTACATTTCAAGATGCTTGTAGGCATTATTTAATACATGTTTATTTAGCAGCTGGTAAATGTCAGGCATACCAGAGTGAACAAGATAGTTGTGGTCTGTGCTCTCATGGGATTTCAGTCTTGTGGGAGAGAGGAGTAAATGTTATATAATTAGTAGCTCCACCACTAGCTAGCTGTGTTGCCCTTGGACAGCTCTGAGCCTGAACTACAGCTCTTAAAACAGGAGTAGTAATTATAGTATCTGCTCACAGGACTGCTGTTATAGTCTTATAATATAACCTTTGACACAGTGAAGTTTAAAAGTAAAAGCTCCCACCCCTCAGCAATAATTACAATTTAAAGGAGGTATCAGTGTTCTTCGTAATCTTCAGAGAAAAGGCTGAACTCAGAGGGACTGTCATGCTCTGGCCACAGAGGCGGAGAGGTCACAGCTGGGCCTTGAACAATGGGTAGGACTTGGGTAGGGAGAGAGGCAGGTGGAGAGCATTCTGAATGTGGGAACTGCATAAGCAAAGGCCTGGCAGTGGGTCTTCCCAGTGTGCTTCAGGAATGGTGTGCAAGTACGGGGTGATGTGGAGAGCAGGAGCTCACCTTGGCTGGGGCCAGGCTGAGAAGTTGTATTTTACTGCCAAGGCAATGGGAAGCCAAATGGACTTTTCAGCAGAAGTGTGACATTAAAAAAAAAAAAATCAGGGGCTTTCCTGGTGGTGCAGTGGTTGAGAGTCCGCCTGCCGATGCAGGGGACGCGGGTTCGTGCCCCGGTCTGGGAGGATCCCGTGTGCCGTGGTGCGGCTGGGCCCGTGAGCTGTGGCCGCTGAGCCTGTACGTCCGGAGCCTGTGTTCCGCAACGGGAGAGGCCACAACAGTGAGAGGCCCGCGTACAGCAAAAAAAAAGAATCTGCCTACCAATGCAGGGGACATAGGTTCGAGCCCTGGTCTGGGAAGATCCCACATGCCACGGAGCAACTAAGCCTGTGCACCACAGCTACTGAGCCCGCAAGCCACAATTACTGAAGCCTGTGCACCTAGAGTCCGTGCTCCGCAACAAGAGAAGCCACTGCAATGAGAAGCCCACGCACCGCAACGAAGAGTAGCCCCTGCTCGCTGCAACTAGAGAAAGCCTGCGCGCAACAACAAAGACCCAACACAGCCAAAAGTAATAAATAGATAAATAAATTTATTTTAAAAAATTAACTTTATTACACAAATTACATAACTAATATGTTCTCTTTATAAGAAATGGAAACCTGACAGATAAAGCTGGAGTCCCTGTAACCCCTCCCCAAAGGTCATGTGTCCTTCCAGACTTGGTCCCTGTGCACTCACATAAACATATGTATCCTTAGAAAACACATAGTATAAATGAGGTAACATTATGGCAATTTGCCTGTAACTTGCTTTTTTTTCATTCAACAGCGTATCTGAAATCATTCCATGTCAGGATGTGTTTAGCTGACTCATAGTTGGTCTTAGTTGATTTAAATGTTCATCCATTTAAATCATAGTGGATAATTTTAACTGGAAAAAAAATTAAATGGCAGGAGGTACAAATAAACCTTCAATAATGAAATTACATCACTTTCTCCTCAGAACTTACTTTTTTAAATATTGGAGAAAATATGCCCAAGTTAGTACTCTAACGTTACGATGAAGTAATAATTGACATTGAATAAGGTTGGTCAGGGCAACTGTTTTTAGTTTATTCTAGCTGCTGTGAATGAGGAGGGGACATATTTAATCTGTCCATCACACAAAAAGAAGGTGGAACCAATCAATAATGGCCTTGATTTCAAACAAGAAAGAAGCAATTAGTTATGCAATATTTCATGATCTGAAAGGGTTTAAACCAAAGTTAAAAAAATAATAATCCTTTCTCCTAAGGGGAGGGAGACTTAGAAAACAGTCAATCCCACACTTTTTACGATTAAAATAATGGCAAATCGTTATTTGTCCAAGGCTGCACAGTACTATAAAGATCTTGACATATTGTACTATCAGGAAATTTATGTAATTGACAGTTGTAAACAAGATTCATCAGTTTTCATGTATATTTCTTTTTAAAAAAATTTTATTTATTTATTTGGCTGTGCTGGGTCTTAGTTGCAGCATGTGGGATCTGACCAGGGTTGAAAGCTGGGCCCCCTGCATTGGGAGCACGGAGTTTTAACCACTAGAGCACCAGGGAAGTCCCTCATGTACACTTCTTCATCTGGATTCTGAAGTGTCAGATTGCTGTGCTGTTGATTCTGACTGTTCCAACTCACCCCTTTTCACTGCAGTATAATATTCCACGGAGTGCTCCACCATAGTCCCTTATTGATGTACCTTTAGCATGGTTTTAGTTTTTGCCAAAGAGTGCTGCCTTGTGCACAGGCAGCTAGATATGGAGTGGTGAAATGGCCTTGTGATTCCCAGGAAGGTTCTGAATATCCAGAATCATTCCTCCTCTCCCCCCACCCCCTACTCATTAGAGCAAGCCTGGAGGGATTTCCTGTGAAAGGATTTGGTGAATTATGAGAATTCACTGTCAGCAGAGCTCTGCATACTATCCTTTCTTCTCCAGGATAGCCTGGCCTCCTTCTGTCTTAGTTTGGGCTAGCCCTGGCGCCCAGGCCTCAGGCTGACTGTGGGATGGCAGAGCATAAGTTCTGGGAGGTGAGGCCCTGGAGCTGGTTTGCTGTGGCCCCTGGCTCTTCACTGGGCCCCTCAGCCAGGCTCCGGGAGCACAGGGGCACACTGTCACCAGCCCCACTCACTTAGCACAGGGAAACAGTATGGCTTAATGGTTAGGAGGCTGGGCTATGGAATCAGACAGATCTGGGTTTAGAGTCCCAGCTTCATCCCTTCCAAGCTCTCAGAACTTGGGCAATTTAACCTCAGTTTTCTCATCTATGAAGTGGGGATCCTGATTTCCAGGGCAATTGTTGGGACAAAGTAAGATAATGCATGTTGTAGAGCTTAGAATAGAGCCTATAAGTCTTGCTTATAGTAAGTTCAGGGGCAGCAGAATGGAGCTTAGAATAGAGCCTATAAGTCTTGCTTATAGTAAGTTCAGGGGCAGCAGAATGGAGTGGGTAAAGGACTAGACTGGATTGTGGGGAAGAGGGCCGACATCTTTAGCCTTGGCCCTACAAGATGATTCCTTCCTTCCTCACTGTAGCACCGGGCCTCAGGCATCCTGCCCTACCCTCTCCTCCATCTTCAGCCCTTCTTCTCCGGGACCCAGCATAGGGAGTCCTCCTCAGCAGGGCACTCCAGCTCCTGGCCTGTGGCAGGGGTCACCAGAGCTGCAGTGCAGAGGCAATGGAAGAGCTCCAGGTGCCTGGAGCTGGAGCTTGGAGCCGCAGCCGACTGGCCCAACCAAGGCTAGGAAGTGGAGGATCTGAACCAGCTTCTCCTGGTGGGCTGGGTCCTGGCTCAGGTGCTTTTCCAGCTTGTCTCTGGCCCTGGGACCCTCAGGCATTCCTCCCTGTTTGCTCAAACCAGCCCCAGGTGCTGCACGAACAAGCTAGGTCTGGGCCCAGGCCGCAGGGGCTTCCACTTGAGCAGTCTCCACTTCTCTTTCATCTGACTCGCCTGGTAGAAGGAGGGATATTTATGGCTGTGTGCTGTTAGATAAGGTGATTAACTTCTGAGCCTCAGCCTGATAGTGACACCAGGTTTACCCCCCTCCTTCCCGTGATAGGAGGAGGTGGAAGCTAGATCAGGGAAACATGGTCAGTAGAATATTCACCAGTGTGGCAGACACTTCTGGTTGCCCACACAGCATCTGTTACAGCCTCTATTCTTCTTTCTCCCTTAATAACAGGGCTCTGTATTATAATGGGTGGTGATATGCCCAGCTGAAAAACTATATTTCCCAGCCTCTCTTGCAGATGGAATGGCCAATGAGATTTATTAGAATATTGTTTGGGGCTTCTAGGAAAGCTCTTTAAAGCAGAGAGGTACACTCCTGTGGCTCTACTCCCTTATATTGTCATCCTGGAAAATGTGATGGCTGGTGCTTCAGCAACCATTTTGTGACCCTCAGGCAATCTCAAGGACAGAAGTCACA